AACAACTATTTTTCAACTGATTAGGGTCAAAGTTTTTAATAAATTGCATAACATTAAATCTGATTTAGACAGTTTGCCAGTGCTGCGCTTGCGCAGTGCTGATGTGAAGCTCACCCGCCTCCGAATCGGTCACACCCGGTTAACACATCTCCATTTACTGTTTGGAGAGCCTTCTCCGGAATGCAGTACTTCCTTTCACAATTCATCATATTTTAATTACGTGTTCACGTTTTAGTCAACTTCGTTTAAAGTTTTTTGGAAGTTCTATTTTATGCAAGCAAGATTTGTTGGATGGCATTCACCATCCGAACATTTTTGCATTTTTACGTGCCGTTGGTATTTTTAACTGCATATAAAAGTTTTAACACATCTACTGTTTTTTCACTCTTAATATCTTATCACCTCTGTTCATTTTATTTAGTACTTCGCGCGTTTTATACTGTATTCATACTTTTTATCTTGTTTTATTCACTTAGTACTGTTTTATCAGTTTTAATTGCGCTGCAATTAATATTTTGCATGCACTTAGACGTTTGAACTGTTTCACCATATTGTTTGGCGCAGCATGTCCTCATTTGGACCTTGTTCCACTAAACCCTACATTCAATCAACTGATTAGGGATACAACAAACGATGGCGAGGATGCTGAGACAAAGATGCCAAGTTGGCGCTATATTTCTGAGATATTGAACAGGAATATTATTCTGTTTAAAATGAAGGAATAACTCCGTCAATTTTTTGTCTGTTTCCACATTTGCAGACAACCAACATTTAATTTTTTCATCTGTAACATATTTTTTTACCAATGACAACTTCATCAAAAAGATCATTTTCGCAAATATTATTTTTCGGCAAATGGTTACTAATATATTCAAAAGATTTTTCCTCATATTCCCATAAAATCTCCTTTTTTAATGTCACCCAATGAAAATTTTTAATATCTTCGAGCTGATCTGTCTATTCTTCAAGATATTCCAAGCAGTTATTATAAAAAAAATTTACATGTTTCAAAAAATCAGGTCGTTTACTGGCACCTTGTTCTTCCAACCTAGTGATGTCTTTTCGAATAATTAAAGGAATGATATCGTTATCAATTCTTTCTCGTAATTTTGTTCTTAAATTATTCATTTCATTTAAAACTTCCGTAATTGAAATGTTGTCCCCTTCAATAAATTTCACAGCATTGTGAAATAATGTAGCTTGGTTGTGGATGAACTGAAGCCAAATTTGTGATCTGTCATTTTCAAAAAAGAGCTGCAATATTCTCGGACATTTATCTTGGGATAAAAAGACTGATTTTAATGGTTCGTATATTTTAAAAATATTTTTTACAGCTAGTAAAAGACAGCTAGTGCTCTTCCATCGTGTTTTACTGTAACCAAGAATTCTTTTATATTAGATTTCTGCGCTTTGACAAAAATCCTTCAAACTTTCAACACGCACTGTATATATATATAGAAATACGAATAAATGATTGCAATAATATTTTCAACATCAACTAGAAGTGAGTCAGATGCTGTTTGAGTAGCATTATGTAGAATGTGCGCTGCACAATCTACTCCAATAATTCTTTGGTTCAAATGTTCGTTAAGTTTCGTAAAAATGTTATTGATGCCTCTTCTAGCTTTTCCACCAAAATTTGCGTTAGTGTTATCCGCACAATAGGCGATAATTTTATTGTTCAAATTATTCTTTTTTAAGATAGTACTTATTAAATCAAAAATTATTTGTGAAGTTTCACCAGGCAATGAAACAAAATCTAATATTCTAATTTTAATTCCTGTTTCTGGATCAAAAAATCTAACAAATGTGCATTTTTCGAATTTTTTCTGAAATTGTGAAAACGAATATGGTGAAAAAACATTACAAATAATTGCTTCGGTTTTTGTCCTTGCACATGCAAATTTTTTGTCGTATAAGGTTTTGATCACTTGCGACGTACAATTCATTGATCTGAAACTTTGATTGTGGTTTACGGTGTGGAAAGTAAATAGCCCTTCCGCTAATGCTAGCTGTTTTTCCATGTTGCCAAAGCTAGCACTGCGAAAAAACTGTTCCATTTTAGACGAGGTAGCGGCATTATTAAAAAATCTTTTGTTCCTCTTTGTCGCTAGATGTTTAGTAATATCGTTTTTTCCACCATGTGAGACCAAAAATTTAGCATTGCATTTATTACACCTTCCCATATAGTCTATTTTGGTATTTTTAATAAATGGAAATTCTCTGCATTCTCTTTTTTTACTCATCTTTTATTCTGTGGGTAAATACTTAATACTTGAAATAAATAAAAAAAATACTACAAAGTCTAAAAAAGAGTATTAAATTTTACCTTATTGACCGTTACTTTGTGGCGACTATTGCTCTACCTTTGTAAATCAAATAATGAGTCAAACCGAACGTCAAATTGAAAACAGCCAACCGCACTGTCTAACGGCAGTCCGCACTTATCTGAATTAAGCCGAGACGTAAAGACAATGATCGAACACTACCGAGTAAATCTAACTCGGTATATTACCTAATTTAGTTTACTCTGCAGGCATTTTATGTGTTTTTTATGTATTTTTTATTTCTTTATATTCACTATAATACTTAATAAATAATAGGTAATATATTTTTACAGTACATTTAAAATAAGAAATGCTGATGTTTTCTAAAAAGCGAGACATTTTTAAAAATCGGCGGGACGCGGGACAGTCCACCAAAAGGCGGGACTGTCCCGCCAAAATCGGGACGTGTGGTCACTTTAGATTAGCATCAATTTACCGAAACTCGAGCTAACAAACTTTGACGGAAATCCCAAAAATTGGTTCGCATTTTGGGCTATGTTCCAAAAAATCGATGAGGATCCTAAAATAGAGGACGACGTAAAATTCACCTACCTGACGCAAACAACAAAAGGTAAGGCTTTCGATTTTGTTCAGTCTTATCAAGTTTCTAAAAGTGAATATAAAACTGTTATTAAAAATCTAAAATCACGTTTTGCGGATGATAAAATGCTAATCGAGTTATATGTACGCGAATTATTAGAACTAATTTTAAATCAATCCCAAAACATGCCTTTCATTAATTTAGTAGATCAATTAGATACTCAATTGCGCTGTTTAGAAAATTTAGGTGTTACTAAAGAAAAATACGCGTGCATGCTTTATCCGTTAGTCGAAGCGTCAATTCCAGAGCATATTTTAATTGCGTGGGAAAGAGAAAGAAATTCTACTTCTCGTTCAACAAATGCAAACATACACGACCTTGAATTACTAATGCAATTCCTTCGGAACGAAGTGATCGGTTCAGAAAGGATTCGTATTGCGAAAAATTTTTGTACTACAGATAAAAATAGAACGGGGAAATTAAAAACAGAAAATAATCAAAACATGATCTCGGCGCCAGGCGCGACGGCTTCAACTTTGTTTAATCAAATAAAAAATGATAAACGCAAAACAAATGTATTTTGTTTATTTTGCCAAAAGGGCACTCACAGAAGTTGTGATTGTTTTACTGCTCAAAAAATGACACTTCAAGAAAGAAAAGAAAAAGTAATAAAAATGAAAGCATGTTTGGCGTGTCTTAGAATTAATTGTCGTGCGGATAAATGTGGAATGAGTGTCCGGTGTGTAATTTGCTCCAAAAAACACTTTCCTATTTTGTGTCCTAATTTATGCAAAGAAGAGGAAAAAACTTTTTCTTCTTTGAACAAAACCGAAACTAATAACGTCGTCAGTAATAGCTCATCCGGTTCGGCAGATATTTTATTACAAACTCTTCAAATAAGAGTATTAGGGCCTTCGAAAACAAAAGTTGTTCGTTGTTTATGCGATTCAGCTTCGCAAAGATCGTATATAACTCGTGATGTTGCAGAATATTTAAACTTAAAAACTGATCATTCTGAATTTCTGACACACAGTTTATTTGGCGGTATTGAAACGGAAAAAATAAAACATTCAGCCTTAAAGTGTGAGCTTCAGGAAATTCGAGGAAATTTTTCGTGTGAAGCTGTATTATTAGATAAAGAAACTATTTGTGGTATGATTCCTAAAATAAGAAAATCTGATGTAGAATACTTCACTAATAATGGAATTTACTTGTCCGATAGTGAAAACGATAATTCGAACATATCAGTTCTTATTGGCGTTGATTATTTAGGAACATTTTTGACTGGTTCTATCAGCCAGCAACCAAATGGGTTAACTGCTGTCCAAACATACCTAGGGTGGGTAGTAATGGGGAAACCAGCATCCTATAAAAATAGTTCTACTCATGTTATGCCCATAATTTCGCTACAAAGCGCTAGCAAAATTTGCAACCTTTGGTCATTAGATATTCTTGGTATTAGAGATCCCGTAGAAAATAAAGCAAATGCAGAAATTGATATTGAAACTTCATCTTTTTTCGAAAAAACTGTTAACTTCATATCTACCATCACGAAATTTATCTTCCATGGGTAGAAGGCCATCCGGAATTATGTGATTTGCGATATCAATCGGAGAAACGTTTAAATTCCATAACTTTGAAGCTCATCTCTTCGGGAAAATTTGATTCGTATGACAAAATTTTTAAGGAATGGGAACAAATGGGAATCATAGAAAAAGTGTCTAGTAATACAAATATAAAAAATTTATCTGACATAAAATGCCGATATCTTCCTCACAGAGCTGTTTATAGAGAGTCTAGTTTAACAACTAAAATACGTATTTGATGCTTCCTCGAAAGACGAAAATTCTGTTTCCTTAAATCAATGTTTAGCTACAGGTCCAAATTATATTGAATTGATTCCTTTCGTTCTAAATAAGTTTCGCAAAGAAAAAATTGGCGTCATTTCCGACATCCGCAAAGCATTCCTTCAAATAAGCGTGTCCCCTTCTGATAGAGATTTTCTTCGCTTTCTTTGGTGGGAAGATTTTGAAAAACGCAAAATTAAGATATACAAACATTGCAGAGTGGTATTCGGCCTAACATCGAGTTCGTTTTTGCTCATGGCAACAATTTATCACCATTTGGATAAAATGAAGGAAACTGAAAATGATATCGCTGTGAAATTTAAAGATGCATTTTACGTTGACAATGTAGTGACAAGCGTTGAAAACAAATGGGAATTAGAGCGATTTTCAAAGACAGCTTGTCAAATTATGTCTCAAGCAGGGTTTGAGCTTACGGGTTGGGTTTCTTCCTCACAGGGTGAAAAACAAAATCAAGATTTGAAAGAATATAGATATTCTCCTGTTCTAGGACTGTTATGGCAACCCAATTTAGATACAATAGCATGTGATATTTGCGGCGTCACAACTGAAGTACATAACAAATGTACGAAACGGCAACTTTTGTTGATTTCACAAAAAGTATTTGACCCAATCGGTTTTACCGCACCCGTGACGCTCATTCCAAAGCTTCTAATGCAAAGAGCGTGGAAAAATGATAAGCTGGGATGGGATCATAAACTTCCATCTGAAATAGTGGAGGAATTTAAAAACTGGCTATCCAGCTTAGGATTTTTGAAAATAATTCAAATTCCGCGTTATTTTGGAGGATTAATTAATAAATCAAATACTACTATTCACATGTTTAGTGACGCTAGTGGGAAAGCCTTCGCGGTGTGCGTATTTTTGCGAATTGAATGCGAAAAAAAAGTTCAAATTAAATTAGTGCAGGCAAAATCACGTGTCGCTCCTCAAAAAAAGGATCCCATCACCAAAATCAAAATGTCTATTCCAAAATTAGAATTTTTAGCTGCACTGATAGGTACTCGTCTTGTTCAGACAGTCAAGACTTCATTAAACATTTCTGATATCGAAACCTTCTATTGGACTGACTCTAAAGTGGTTCTTTGTTGGATCAAAAATCCCGGAGAATGGAAAACTTTTGTGAACAACCGAATACAAGAAATTCACTTGAACTCATCTAAAGAACATTGGTGTTATATCCCATCTCAAATGAATGCAGCGGACATCGCGTCTCGTGGGTGCAACGCACAAACTCTTTTCAGTCTTCGTTGGTGGGAGGGTCACACATGATTAAAAAATCGAGACTCTTGGCCAAACACTTACAATGCTGATTTCTCAGATGCTTTAGAACTTGCTACCTTGGAGAAAAAACCTACAGTTTCGACGAATCTTTCGTTAGGTAATTCCGAACCTAATTTTTTCGCATGGACTAAGCGAATTTCGAAATTTTCTACAATTGTTCGAATTTTGGCCTATGTTAAACGATTTATCTTCAATGCTAAATCAGTAGTAAATAAACAGAATGAATCCCTCTTGAATGGAAAGTTAAAAGAAGAAGAGCTCACTAAATCTGAGCTTTTCATACAAAATGACTCATTTGGGAAAGATCGTCGACTGATACCTCCCAATTTCATCATTTACCGCGACTCTAGTGGTCTTCTAAGAGTTGAGACAAAACTTATCTCGACTGGTGATGGTGATTTTTTTCAGACGTCCCATCCTTTTGCCAGACAGGAATGAACTAGTTTTCAAACTCATCGAAGAGACTCATCGGACCTACAGCCATGTAGGTGTACAAACACTTGTCACAACCCTTCGTGAAAAGTACTGGATTTTGCGATCAAGAAAAACCGTTCGATCAGTTGTTTCCAAATGTGTAATTTGCCAAAGATTTAAATCCAAATCTGCTACAACGATGTTTGCTCCTCTTCCAGAAGAATATCAGCAGTGTTCGAAACAACTGGAGTTGATTTAGCTGGCCCTTTAGTTTTGCGAAATCGTGACAAAGTTTGGATTGCAATCTTCACGTGTACCGTGCGGTACATTTCGAACTTGTTTCGGACATCTCCACGCAAAGTTTTCTTCTCTCATTGAGACGATTCATTTCACGTCGAGGTCGAGTAAAATCAACCTATTCAGATAGTGGCACACACTTTGTTGGTGCAAACAACGAACTGAAAAGTATAGACTGGAATGTCATCATTGCTCACTCAGATTTGAAAAAAATCTCCTGGCATTTCAACCCACCTACCGCTGCTTGGTGGGAGAGGGTGGTAAGAATGTTGAAGGAATTGTTGAGACGGAATTTAGGAAAAGCGTGTCTTAACTACGAAGAACTGTACACCGTTGTGTGTGAATGTGAAGCTCTACCTAATAGTAGACCTCTTACTTACCTCTCCGAAGAACCATCAGATCTAGTGCCATTAACTCCTTCTCTCTTTTTACAGGATCAGACTGAATTTTGTGTTGATGATCACGATCAGAATGATATGCAGAATCTTCGCAAACGCGCGAAACACCTTCACTCCATTAAGCAAAAACTAAAAACACGTTTCTATAAAGAATATAATTCGCTCCTTAAGCAATCCAGACACTCTCATCAATCCCCACTTGAAGTGGGAGATCTAATCAGTTCAGATAATAAAAAACGTGTTGATTGGCCTCTAGCCAAAGTAATTGAAATTTATAAAGGACGTGATGGTGTTTCCCGAGTTGCGAAGGTTAAGACTCAAAATGGTGAAATAGTTCGACCATTTCAACGATTATTTCGTTTAGAAACAACAGGTATTGTAAGTAAAACTCTAAGATCAACAGTCAAACCTGTTAAGCTGTAATCTTCAATTTTGTATTATACTTTAAAATTTTTTGTCCTTTTCTATATATATTTTATGTATTTGCAATAATTTTATTTCATATTTCTAAACTTAATACTTTAACTTTTATTTAAAATTTTTGATAATTTTAACCTTTTGCGGTTGGAGGATGTTGCATCTTCCTTCCATTAAATAAAATTTTTACCTTGCGATAGATGGCGCAGTGTGCGCATCTGTAAGGATACATAGCTTTTCTCTTCAGTCTTTTGTTTGTTGTCGTTTCGTTAAGTTTAAATAAAAAACACTAAAAAATATTGGCTTGCACTGATTCATTTCAAACCAATAGCCAAAAAGATCCCGAGATACAACAAATACGAATCAGAATGAATATGGGTTTTATTCATCATTTGTATTGTGCTGCCACAAACAATGTCGGTTAACAAAAGGAAGTGTTGGCAATACATTAGTCACGTACTTGAAATTCGAATTTGTTCAATCGCCGTAGAACTCTCAATTACGCATTTACTTCGTAACAAATTTCATCTAATGAGGCAATGAAAACTTCTCGTTTGCAAGAGCATTTCCAAGAAATTCATCCTGACAAATAAAATAACGATTTGTCATTTTTCACAAAATCAAGGGCATCTTCTGCCTCAGGCACACTAGCAACCTCATCACAAAAATGTGACGATGTTTTGATAGCCTCTTATATTATATCAAATTTAATTGCTAATTTTAGGAATCTTTCATACCATCGGCGAAGAGTTGATACTGTCGGCTGGCTAGGAAATTTCAGAAACAGTTTTACACAATCCAGCCGCATCTAATGTAATCAAAATTATCTTATTAAGCAACGATTACAGTGCGGCGATGAACTGATGAGATAGCTGAAGACGTTGAAGTTTCCTTATGCGAACTTTTGATATCCAAAGAATTTTTCCTACAAGTTGATGAGTCAACTTTGCCAAGTAATGAGGCTTTACTGGTGGTTTGCGTCCGGTTTGTGAAGGAAGGAAAAATTATCCAAGAAATGCTTTTTGCAAGAAGCTTGATTGAGGATACCAAAGATGAATCTGTTTTTAATACTGACAAAGATTACTTTGAATAGAAAAACATTCCTCTTGGGAATATCATGTCTGTTGCCACTGATAAACCTTCTGCAATGATGGATGGGTTTATCATCTTTTTGAACAGGTAGGTACCATATATTTTAGCTGCTCGCTGCGTAATTCACAGACAGCATTTAGTTTTAAAAAATATCAGTGATAGTTTGTTTGAATCATTGCAATAGGTCGAGCTCTGCTGTGAACAAAATTCGCAGTAATGCTCTGAACGATCGATTATTCAGAAGCTGTGTAAAAAAATGAATTCAATCATTTTCTACTACACTATGAGATCCACTGGCTTTCCTAAGGGGCCTGTCTCAATTGGTTTTAGAATATTTTCGACTCCGTGCTTGAGTTCCTCGAAGACAGAGATGTAGCTCTGAGAGACGGATTACTAGAATTTAAGATAGGCGTTGTATATATGACTGATTTATTTCCAAAGTTTATTAGTGTTAATTCAAAACTTCGAGGTGACGAGCTCAATTTTATCACTACAAAACCAGTCTGCCATTCTAAAAAAAACTCATTTTGTGGAAGCGGAATTTCGGTCGGAATTAGTTCAGCCAACTTCCAATCTTATCGGATCTTAAAAAAGAATGATGAAATTCCCTCTGATATTAAAGAATATTGTCAACACTATGAGTCTTTTCACTTGGACCGTTTCATAGATTTTTGTCCCTGAAAATCCCTAAGGGGTTATAAGCCCTTTCGTGACGATTGAAACAGCAGAGTTCAGAATTCAAGAGGAATTGGTCGAACTTTCAACTAAGGAAACTTTGAAATAGTGATCAGCTCACAGAATTTTGACTTCAAGGTAACATAGGTCGCTTCTACCCTAGACTGTAGACTATCTTCGAAAATTTTTTAATTGCTTTCCCTTCCTCCTACCTTGTCAAACAAAATTCAGTGTTGTGATGGAACTAGTCGCAAAAAAGAAGAAACGAGGAAACATCTTCACCTCACGAAATAAATTGAACCGATCGTTAAGAAACTGGCTCTGAACCTTCAAGCACAATCATCTCACTGACATAGTTGTGTGATTGTTCCGTTTATACTATTTTTTAGAGTAAAAAAATATTTTTTAGGCGTTATGAATTATCTAATTAGAGAAAAAATGACTTTTTTTTAACCATAGGTTTCTTTGTTGTAGTTTTTTTCGTTACCGTATTTATTTTGATTATAACAAACAGACTGCGATTACCTGCCGGAAGAAAAGTATCCACCCATACAGCACATTGACTTCGTTATGACATCCTAAAGTTGTCATCTTTAGAATTCTGTGACTTCCAGAGGAAGTCCTACATTTACCGCTAAATGTCCTACGGATGTCATCTGCGTGTTAGAATGTTCCACCTGCAGATATCTTAATGATGTCATAACTAGGACAGTTTTAGGATACCTTTAGAACGCTTTAGGATGGCATTAGGACAAAGAAAGACTATAGTTTAGCAAGGATTTAGATAACTTATATGAGGTATGTCGGAACAGGTATGATAGTAATAGGATGGTGTCTTATTTTGGATATAAATTTCATCTCTGAAATTTTTATTAATATTGGTGACTTAAATACTTTGTAAAAAGGTTTTTCTTTTAAATTTACTGAATTAGAGGTTAGAAAAATGTTTTCTAAATGAAAAAAAGGGTGATAGTTTTTAAATTGTATTACACTCTATCTCGATTGGCATTACTAATTCTCCTAGAAAAATGGGCTATTCCTCAACTATTTTTTTTAGGAAAATTAATAAAGCAAAAGGAAGTAAAACAGTAAAAAAACAAACGTATCTAAAGAAAAGAATAATATATAATTTTAATCCAAAAATGTGCAAGTTTATTGGATTTCACATTTCTATTGTTTGGAATAAAAACTTGACCATTATTAAAAATTCTAATTAAATGTACCCTTCAAACACCAAGCAAGGTTATAAGTCTCTCACTTAGTGTTAGTTTTCCTCAAAGAATATTTCTAATTTAATTATGAGCCTTGTTGAATCTTTCGTGAACCTTGTAATTTACGATTGCTCATATTGTTTAATGTAGTAGATATATTAAAGATCTCATAATAAAATAATGAATAATTTTCTTTTTAACGTTGCTCATTAAGCTTACCCGTCTGCGAATCGGACACACCAGACTGACCCATCTACATTTGTTGTTTGGTGAACCACCTCCTCAATGTAACACTTGTGATGTTTTTCTTTCGATTCACCATATTTTAATCACTTGCCCGTATTTTAACAGACATCGTCTTGCCTTTTTTGGCAGTTCTATTTTATCTATGGGAGATTTGTTAGGTGACTCTCATCATCCGAACATTTTTGCATTTTTACGTGCTATTGGCATTTTAAATTGTATATTCTGTTCATGAATTTAT